ATTTAGGGTAAATGCAAATAAAGAGGTTGTACTGCAGCTCCCTATGATAGGATGCTTATAAAATCAGCGTTTGAAATCTTGAATTCTTACCTGCGTCGAAATGCTGACAACTAGTACTGATGGGAAATACTTAATTATTACTCTTCGGTGTCGGATAATGGATGGAGTGGACAATATGACCAATACTATTGTGAAGTGTATTAAGTGCTCATTTAGTGTCCATATTTGTAAATAACTATTTTAAAAGTGAGATATTTGTAACTTTCTAGAAATGTTGAAATATTCAATCAAAAATTATACAGTGGACATTAAGGCAAACAAATCTACTTGTCACGCTAGGGACTTATTAATTCCAGTATCAAAGGTTGAGCAGAGTATTGCGAGACAGGGGATCTCTTTGATAACAAAAAAAGAGTACTGAAATGTTACGTGACATCTGTTCTTCTTTAAGGCAGCGAATGTTGGACGGTCTCTTCAAAGATGAAGAAAGACTCGAGGCGACGGAGATATGGTTCTACAGAAGGATGCTAAGGATATCATGGACCAAGCGTATGAGCAACGATGATGTTTTGGAGATGATACAAACAAGGAGGAGGCTTATACTTAACATCAGGAAGAGGGAGCTGAAGTTTCTGGAATACGTAATGAGAAAGGAGGGCTTGGAGAATCAGATATTCACAGGTCGAATAGAGGGAAAGAGATACAAGCTTGAGCAAGTGGATGACAGAACATGGTCTGGGGGAGGTAGCAGAGGAAGGGAACTTATTGAGAGTTACAAGGGATAGGGAGAAGTGGAGGGCTATGATCGCCTACGTCCTGATAGGACACGGTACATAAAAAGGAAAATATATCATGGCATATCAAATATTTTGTTTTATGAATATTGCTTTGATGAGTAAATATCCCAAGCTTCCTTTTCGCACCTTGCACATTTCAGAGATAGCCCCCCCCCCCAATGAAACAGAGTTAAAGATATTTCTTTGCCAAATCTGTCGATTTGTAAAAGAGTCAATATAAAATAATTTGTCAGTAAAGTTATTTATTGGGAACGGACAGAAGCTATTTACACTATTTATGTTGTTGGGACTGTTATCTCATTCTTTGTTGTTATATTCACTGAATATGACAACAACGATGAGGACAACAGTTCAAACATCGTAAATAGTGTAAATAGTTACACGACCTCATTTCAGAAATATAGACATATCCGGGAGAAGGCCGGAGCATACAATGGTCGAAACATCGTGAATATGGAAGCAAAGATGAAGACAACAGTTCGAACAATGTAAATAGTTACAATACCTCATATCATAAATATAGACAGATCCGGAAGAAGGTTGGAGCGTACAACGGCTGAAACGTCGTGAATGTGACAATAAAGATGAGGACAACAGTTCGAACATCACAAATAGAGTAAATAGTTACAATACCTCATTTCAGAAATATAGAAAGATACTGAAGGATCGGTACAGACCTGATATACCAAAAATATGGAGACAATTAGAAAAGTCCCACCAGACGCTGGTACGAATGTCGAACCGTTTAACATTCCTACAACGATGCAGATACATACGACTCATCCCATCAGGCTTGACACCAAGACTTCCGATCAATTCAAGGAAAGCCTGTTTAAAACTGTTCTACAAGAAGAGTTCAATGTATTTATTATAGCCAAGCATATACAATACTTAGAATAGAACTTCAAATTTACCCCATTCGAATAACTATTTCAACCAGTAAGTCCTATATTGTTGGCATTTTCAATTTCTGAGCTGACTATGCTAACAGTATAGGACTTGCTGGTTGAAATAGCTATTTCAATGAGGTAACTTTGGAGTTCTATTCTATGTAATTTATATATATATATATATATATATATATATATATATATATATATGTGTGTGTGTGTGTGTGTGTGTGTGTGTGTGTATGTATGTGTGTGTGTGTGTAGCTGGCCACTCGTATTCGAGGATACACGTCTACTAGGGTGGCTGGAATTTTGCTATTAGTCTAATAGTTGTAACCTCAGGAAGATTACTGAATAGAATAATCACACAAACTTTGGTAATGGACGATAATAATTAGGACAAGAACAACACATATAAGAGAAGAAGTAGTCAACTGCTAGAAGTGAGTCAAGTGAATTTCACAATGGATCTCAAACTCTAGGATATCTATCAACCGCCCCACGCGGTCAACTGTGGAACAAGGCCGAATTTAATGTCGGGTAACCGAGCCTGTAGGATCGGCCAAAAATTTCCCGTAGACCCCGTATAAAACGGGGTCGGGTAGCTGTTTCCCGAGACGAGACTCTGCCCTTCGACAGTCTCGTCTGGGGATCCTCTCTGCCCGGAGGCATAGAGTTTGACCAGCACAGCTGGAGACGAATCTTCCACTGCAGAATAACATACAGTATTTACTGTTGTATTTATGTGAATGGGGACATACCCGTTATCGTCCGTAGGTATGCTACAACACTAATAAACAGAGATAGTCCTAAGATCGCCATTAAAATAATTTATATGCTCATAGTTTCTTGAAGAAAAGTATATAGCTGACCTATGAATAGTTAACTTAATAAATAATAAATATCCACCTTTTTTGGCGAAATGTCTTCAAAAACATTTTTCCGAAATCTCAATAATAAAGAGAGCCGGATTTATAAAATATTACAAATCGTCACCATTTTTCCTCTTTACCTTTTAAAGTCCAATTTAATATATATACTCAAACTATGATACAAGGTAAAATATATTGAAAAACCAATAAGGAATAAGCGATTCTATCATGGCTTGCGTGATTCACGCTATTGTACTCACGTGCACCCTGTAGTTACCAATGTTAATTTGTTCATTAATAAACTCGTCAAAAGATTGTTTAATCGTTAAACTATCATTTGAATTGAACGCATTCTGATGAATATGAACCAAAAAGGCGATAAAAACAATATAGTTGTGATAAAAAAATATGTTTTTCATATATAAATTAGTCTCATGTAAAGGTCGACCTTTCACATTAGGTAAGGAAATCATTTATTTATTATATATGCCTTTTTCATTACTTTTAAACAAAGTTATTGAAAGTGACCAGATAAATTACCGCATTACTTTCTAATTTTATCTTTCGAGAATATTTGGAGAGTTAAACTTCATTCACTTGTCTTTTAGTTGGTCTTAATTTGTAACTTTTCCTTTTCATGATCATTTTCTCTTGTTCAATGATTGACTTTACTATCAAACTATGTATGTTCGTATCTATCAATTTATCTATGAGTATTAATATATATATATATATATATATATATATATATATACATATATATATATATATTTACCATTTACATTGTTTACCATTGCATTTTATTGTTATTAACCAGAATTAACTGAAAACCATTTTAATAATAAATTTCTGAACTGCTGATTGTTTTGGCTTAATTGTTATTGTATTGTGACTTTACTGCCACCCCTATATATATATATATATATATATATATATATATATATATATATATATATATATATATATATTAGGGTTATGACTTTTTTGTAATCCTATGTCATAAATCGATGAACTTTTTGTTCAAAAGTAATGAAAAAGCATTAATTTGTTTTAGATCTTGAAAAATATCATCCCCAAAATAAAAATTCGATTTAACCATATATGGTTAAATCGAATTTTTATTTTAGGGATGATATAAGGGTAAAAATCTTTCAAATCTTTCAGAAGCTTTATTTTTCAATTTGCTAATGATGTAATTGGATAATACTTAAGCGTTTTGAACGCATTTAAGAGTTTGTAGCATAGCAAACAAAGGTTCCATAAAGTTCTAGAAAGCTCCAGAACCTTTTAGAAGCATCCAGAAATCCATAATACTTATATACGATTTTAGAAATTTAGTTTTGAGGGTGACATTTTAAAAAAAATAAACTGAATTAAACCCATCTTCACTAATTTTTAAGAAAAGTTGATCGAATTAAGAATGATGGAAAATTTTTAAGAACTTGGACCTGTGGCTGAATTAGCGATTAAAGCATTTTCTACATATTTTCATCATAGTGAATTATTTTCTTTTTTAATTAGAGTAACATTTTTTTATGCCCAAATTGTGGTCAGTTTTGTTACAATGAACAACCAACGCATTGTTTTTTTTAAAGATGTCTTTTTTGTGAAAGTTAATCCACAATAAATTTGAGTCCAGATTCTCACAAAATTTCATCATTCTTGACAGATTTTCAGTTATCACAAAATGGGATGTTTAAAAACAAAGATAGTAGAAATAAAAAGAAAAAGAATAGAGATGAATTTGGCTAGATTGCAAGAGTTATTTCAAAAAATTATTTCCCCAAAATTTGAAACTATCAACGTCTCTCGTTCATGCGCTTGTGTAGTCGCAACAATATCAACAAACCCAGTCTGATGAAGTCCTAACGGATGAAACGCGTTACAATAATTTTTTTTTTCATTTTACTTTACAATTTCCTCAATACTGTTCTTAATATATAAAAATATATATCGTTATCTCATATCCGGCATGATTTACTCCTCTGCAACGAACTTCACAGTAAGCAAGGCTCTTTCTGTCCTATTTATAGAAAAGCACATTCTCTTCAGAAAAATCTGAGTGAAGAGGACGTATTTTCCTTAAGTAAGGTATATATATATATATATATATATATATATATATATATATATATATATATATATATATGGAGAGAGAGAGATAGATAGACAGGCAGACTGAGAAAGAGATAGAGAGCTCTGAAGAATGTCCACGCTGTCATTATATACCAACGCTATCTCATAAATTGAGCACAGATCCCTTTAGATATGTATAGCAATATATATATATATATATATATATATATATATATATATATATATATATATATATATATATAGGTGTGTGTGTGTGTGTGTGTGTAGTTGGTCTCCACACAAAAATTATTGTGGAAGATATAGCAGCACAATAATTCTCCTTGCTGTAGCACTTGGGTCATTAGTTGTTTTATAACATCTATCTATCTATCTATCTATCTATCTATCTATCTATCTATCTATCTATCTATCTATCTATCTATCAGAGACAATCATTGTCAGCCTTCATACGTAGCTATCTTTGTCACAATTTTCAATGTCTATTTCTCTATTTGTCTATCTATCTATCTATCTATCTATCTATCTATCTATCTATCTATCTATCTATCTATCTTCATATTTATCCTCTTAATCTATCTATCTATCTATCTATCTATCTATCTATCTATCTATCTATCTATCTATCTATCAGAGACAATCATTGTCAGCCTTCATACGTAGCTATCTTTGTCACAATTTTCAATGTCTATTTCTCTATTTGTCTGTCTGTCTGTCTGTCTGTCTGTCTATCTATCTATCTATCTATCTTCATATTTATCCTCTTAATCTATCTATCTATCTATCTATCTATCTATCTATCTATCTATCTATCTATCTATCTATCAGAGACAATCATTGTCAGCCTTCATACGTAGCTATCTTTGTCACAATTTTCAATGTCTATTTCTCTATTTGTCTGTCTGTCTGTCTGTCTATCTATCTATCTATCTATCTATCTATCTATCTATCTTCATATTTATCCTCTTAATCTATCTATCTATCTATCTATCTATCTATCTATCTCTTCAAGTGGATGTGATTGTTACATGCTTATCACTGGCGCGTGGGCACTGTCTTCCAAACAATCTAGTAATCTCCATTGCAAACGTTGATTTTCAGTGGAAGTCAGTCATTCCCTCTTTAGTGATGTGTTACATCTTATTCTTATTTTGTAAACGATCATTACATTCATTTAATTGTTAAATCATAATACATACACGATAATCACAAAGAAAGAACTGTACTAGATAACAGAAAACACATTACTTGAAGTCTTTCAGCAGAAGCAACAACTAAAATGGATATCACATGTAAATTGAAAACGGAATAATGACATGATCTTGACGTTCTACAATATCCCAAACGAAAGTCAAAGAAGTAAGCACCCATCAGTACTAAAAAGATTAGTAACAGTTAATAGGCTTAAGATACTTATTTTTCTGAAAACATTTGTAAATTTCAACCAACAGCAGCACTAACTGTTCGATCAAGAAATACCGAAAGTTTTATTATAAGGAAACGGTTAGCATTAAACATTGTCATATAAACCTTTTTGAAAATACTGGCTTACAATTAAATCGCACAGAAACACCTCTTTTCGTACGATCAGCGGGTCTGGTCACACCCTAGATGGGTGACCCCTTAGGGATACCAGGTGCTATAAGCTTAGATATGCAGGTGGTGTAAAGGTCTTACGATCACATCATATTGAAACACCGGTTTCTTTACGATCATCTAAGTTAAGCAATGTCGATCCTGGTTCACAATCTAGATAGGTGACCGCTTGGGAATACCAGGTGCTGTAAGCTTGGATGTCCTGTTAGTCTAGAGGATAACGGCTCGGAATGAGAAATCGATATTACAATACCAGTCGGCTTCGTTCTATACACTTACGCGTAAATAACCTAAGTATGAATTTAATTCTCACACCCCAATACTCCTACTACGATTTGAATAGTAAGATTTGTATAAGAAAAATTGTTATTATCTAAAAAAATATTCTTACAATCCCCAAAAATATTTTCTGGCTTTAAATCACTCGCAAGAGGTTGATAAGCCATAAAAAAGAATCAATCTTTCTAAAAATACTTTTCGTATAATAAATGGTTTCGCAAATTTATTACCTCCCTTGTTTGTATATTTTTTAATTCGTTTACTTCTCATTCATTTAGTACTCTAAATTCAATACTTTTTTTTCTGATTCTTATTTTTTCTGTTCTCATTTTCTTTGAAAAGTGTCTTCTTTTTTCTAAATGTAACCCCTCTTTAAATCCTTCATATTTTATTTATTCCCCACCGGCAATGCTCCGTATTTTCCCCCTCTTTTTCGTCACTAATTCTCCACAAGCGTTTCCATTGTAGTTTAACCCCTCTCTTCAAATCCTTTCTCTTTCTTTTCTGCATCTTTTATTTTCTCTTTCTTTTAACATATAAAAAAAAAAAAAAATGTTGACCCATACATACTTACTTTCCCACCCCTCAAACCTCATCTTTCTCGCCCTTGCGAATTCTCCATTTTTTTGCAACTCTCATTCTTATCCTGAACACAATCTTTCGGCTTCTATAATTTCCCCCCGTCCCACTGTCTCTGCCTCTATTGTTCTTTGCTCGTGTACTCATTTCTCGTTTGAATATGGCTAACCATTCATAAACGCAGCGAATTTCTCAAGGGCATCTCTTTTCTGTGTCACTATTTGTAAAATAAAATAAAATAAAAAAACATAAAACCCGAAATAAAATACACTATCTGAGCAGGATGTATCAGTAGCATGCCTAACACATTACTTGAGGCTATGTATGTTGAAGGCGTACGTTTACGTTTCTTCTACTTTGTATTTGTTCCTACACAACAACAGATGAACTAACCTGTAGGATTAAGTACCTTTCTTTACTAGGCTTCATTTTTAGGAATGAGAAACTCTTTCATAGCGAAATATTCGTAAAAAAAAACAAAAAAAAAACAATTTAATGCTAGTAAATTTCGCTGTATTCATTCATAACACAATGAGATGATTAGTGGTAAATTCATGACCTATTATTTCAGCTCCTGCGATTTGTCAAAAAGTAAATCCATCGCCAATCCTCATCGGTAGATTTACTGTCAACCTTATTATTTTCTTTTAATTGAACTTTCTTTTCTTTTCTTTTTTTAATCGAGTTCACCCCATGCAAGGCAGTAAAGACACAGAGACGCAAGGATTTACTGGGTGTGGAAGAGGAGCGAGAACAGAGGAACAGTAATCAGGAGGACAAACAGATAGCGATTGACATTGCATTTTCAGATTAAAGTTGGCTGAAAAGTATGGAGTTCCACAAGTGAGAAGTACGAAAAAAGAAATTGCTCGTATAGAATCTACATTTATATCTAGCGATCTCAATTGTAAATTGGCGAGACGTCATCGCCAGTCTAGTGCTGTGCTTATATTTGAAGAGTCTAGACACGATAGCAAAGAGCGATATTTATTTTCTAATAAATACAACAATGTGGCACAAGGTCAAAAAGGGGGAATAGAGAAAGGAAATTCTCATAATTAAACTTAGCTAGCCACAATCACTGACCCAAGCGTACAACAATATTCCTTAAACCAAAACAACAGAATCTTACTTGACATTCTTACTACATAGACCATAATACCGCAGAATGTCCATGAAGTCCTAACTAGTTCCCATATGCACAGTCCTTGTCTGTGGGAAGGAGGGGGAGGGGAATAAAACAACAATTTAATAATCTAAACCCCGAAGAGCGATATTTATTTGTAAAAATTCCAAAATGTGGCAGAATTCCAAAATGTGGAATGGGGGAAAAGGACGGTCTTCTTCTCTCTTAAATTTAAACTTCGCTAGCCACAAACACTGACCCAAACATACCACAATATTCCGAACACCAAAACATTCTTACTTACCTTTCTTACTACATTCACCATAATACCTCATTGTCTCTATGAAAGTCCTAACAAGTCCCCATATGTACAATTCATTATCTGTGAGGGGAATAAAAACTTGAAGAGCTCTTCCGAACAATTACCATGAAAGTATTTGTAGAAAAGACACAGAGAGGCAATCTTACGGTGGTGGGAAAGTGACTAAAAGATGAGCCGCCAGATCAGGACCGATAATATTGCTGATTCTACTTTGTATTTTCTCTAGGAGCTCTAGATAGACAACAGGAGCACCGAATCATACGTGGCAGCAATATTCTAAGCATGGATGAATCATAGACTTATAGATATGATACGTTGCATTAAAGTGGGATTTTAACCAGATTGAGAGAAAAAAAAAAGTTCCGATGATATATGCAGATGAAAATTATAATAATGATTTACTAGCGGAATTTAGATGTACAAGGCCCCGATATTAAACCGGACATAGTTGAAGATCGATTACACTACTCAGTTGTAATTGATCTAGCGAGAAAAACTTGGTAACCATTACACCACGTGGATGAAGTCACAGTTACTCTAATAATAAATCTAAGTGAATAATTAGAGTTTCATATACCTCCTATAATAGCATGGTACTTCTCGTCGACACAATAATCCATGGTTCGAAAATTACATCTGTATTCGGGATAAAAAGTAATACTTAAGCCGCACGAACGGAGACAGCCAAATGACAACAATTACACCTCAAAAATATCATATAATTCTACATTTTCATCCCTGAGTTAGTATGTTATCAAGTGCGTTACGCCTCAGCTAAATAAGAGCCTATTCTGTTTTGATTGTGAAGAAAGAGTGAAGAAAAAGACATATCAGAGACGCTGCTTGAAAAACAAACAAAGAAAAGGAAGATAGAGGAGGCGATAATATTCTCGTGCGTTTAACGTCTGCTTCAGTGAAATGGAAAATCAAATTATGATTTTTTTTCATTTTCTCCCACTTCTGTAAATAATGGCCTGAATTTATACTTGTGATTATTATTGCAACATTTTACTAACGTTGTTCAACTCAAATATTTAACTAGCTTAACCGACATTATTGATTGGCGATGGAATTACATTACGACGCGTTTATTAGGCAATGTATTTGCCGTGATGAATTTTCTAGACACGGCGATGAGAGAAAAATAACAACAATTTCCATGGTTTTTCCATTTGAGTTTTATGTTTTTATTTTACAAATAGTGACACAGAAAAAAAATGCCCTTGAGAAATTCGCTGCGTTTATGAATGGTTAGCCATATTCAAACGATAAAATGAATATACAAAGAACAATAGAAGCAGAGACAGTTGGACGGGGGTGGGGGAATTGTAGAAGCCGAAAGATTGTGTTCTGGATAGGAATGAGTGTTGCAACAACAACAAAAAAATGGAAAATTCACAATGGGGAGAAAGATGAGATTTGAGGGGTGGGAAAATAAGTATGTATGGGTCAACAATTTTTAAAATGTTAAAAGAAAGAGAAAATAAAAGATTGATGGGTAAACAGTTTTACTTTACTGACTTTTCGAAATATATATATATATATAGTTTATGCAAAACTTGGTAATCCGTATGGGTAGACCCAAGGAGGATGATATCCGGAGAGCTCAATGTAAAATGTAAATTCAGAGCAAATATGTTTGAATAAAAAAACAGACCACTTTAAGGTTCCATGTAATAAATTATTTCACCACAGCCCTTTTAAAGGGATCTGGATCATCAGACTTTACTTCCAAAATATATAAGATGTTTATACGAAATAACGTTTAACAAAATTGATTTTATTCAAATATGCACGGACACTTTATAGGTCGTGAAGTGGTATCTTTCTAAGTAAAGCTTTCAAGACATCATTAGAATATTTTAGTGATATCTTCCGCAGTTTCCTCTAAACTAGTTATCAACCTAATTGCTCCAATCAATACCATGGTTTAGCTATCTGTATTTCAATAAGGAATCTTTTAACAACTAACATGAGTGCGTTTTTTGTCGGGTTTGTGTCGAATTTCGACAACAGCCAAGCATTTGAAAGCGCGTTACTGTCCCCTAAATTTAAAATCAATACACAGTCAAAGGAGCGGCAGTTAAAGTTGAAACAATTTTTTCTTCTAAAGAAAATACAATTTTTTTTCTCTCGCATTTTTCATCTGTGGAATTCTGGATTCTTGCTTTCGTGTAAAGGAGAATTTTCAGAAATTTAAATGCAACTTCAATCACGTCTTTTTAAAACTTTTTTTTATTGTCCTTTCTACTCAATAACATTTTCTCAGTTTCGTTCACACTCAGTAACCTCTTGCGTCTTAGTGGCTTTATCGCCTTGTTTGGGGTGAAATAATTAAGAAAACGTGTATATGCAATTGATAATTCGTATCATATCAAAATGATTTGAAAACTTCGACGTGGTGTAATGGTTAACAAGCTTGTCTCGATAGATCAATTAAGGCTGAATAATGAGCTCAATCATCACAGGGTGCTCTATGCCTTCGGCCTTATACTATAACTAAGCTACGCTTATTAAATCATTATAAAACAATTTAATATGACGGTGGCGAATGATTCTAGGGCACACAGTGACGACTGATATCACTATTACAACAATGGTTTACAAATCTGCGTTACGAAACTATGGCTTTTAAAAGTCACTGCACACAAACGCGTATGCTTACGACCGTATTCTCAGGCATGCGCATGTGCAAAATCTTTTATAAATTCTCGTAAAGTTGGATTTTTGACTGGATCCCCCATCTTACATTAATAGGAATCAAATAAGCGGTAATTTCTAATTTTCATAACAATTTTTAAAAGCCTATTTTAATAAATATTTCATTTGTGTTATTTGAGAATTGGAGACATCAGAATCAACCAAGTGTAGATATTTAACGATCTGAGTAGTATAGAAAGAGATACCGGAAATTATGACACAGAAATCCGAAGGTGTACTCGAATAGAGAAAATTGTCTTCCGGAAAATAAGCAATATTTTAAGAAATTTCAATTAGAAACAAAGAAAATAGTCCTGAACAGCTATGTTCTATCTTTCCTCCTTTTCGGCAATGAATGATAGACAATTTTCTTGCGGATGAAGAGATTCGACGTGACAAAGATGTGGTTTTACAGACGAATGCAAAGTATACCATGGACAAAACACAAGTTCAATGAGGAAATTCTTGAGAAAATAGGAACTAAAAGATCAATTATGCTTAAAATCAAAAAGAGAACTGAAATTATTAGTACACCTTATAAAGAAAGAGGGTTTAGAACAGTCAGAGGCAAACTACAACCCGTGGACCACATGCGGACTGTTTGCCTTTCTAAATGGCACGCCAAATTTAATCAGGAAAACTTTTATTAACATTTTATTTCTTTCATTTCGTTCTCACTTATTCACTCATACTTTCTCGTACTTAACCACGTACAGAAAGAATGATTAAGTACAATGTTTATTGAATTTTGTAGCTTTTTGTTGGTGATTTTCTCTACGGAAGATCATACGTGTAAACATCTTTTGCTTCAGAAACAGGAAACGTTCACAATAATGTGTTTTTCTCTGTGGAATGAATATAATTTTTCTTTTAAAAATCTCGTCAAATAAATAAAGTAGAAACAAATCACACTTTCATCAGTGATGAGATTATAAACAAGACTTCATTTTTTTAATTATCGAAAGAACCTTTTCATCAAAGCAAAAAAAGGGCCCCTCCCATTTCCAAGGCAGATACTTATGCGTATGATCTTCTGTAGTTAAAATGACTGACGTACCCTGAATAAAAAAATAATACCTTGAACATTTTTTTAAGTAGGACGGCTCGCCTGATTATAAAATATATCTCATGTGGCCCATTGCTTGAAAAAGGTTGCCCATGCCTGCTTTAGAAATGTAATACTCCCAGGACACATTGAAGGAAGGACCGAGGAAAACAGCAAGTTACTTATTTAATGAGTGTGTGTGAAGAGATGGGAGATTGTTTATTCTTTGAGCCATCAGATACTGGCGAATGATTCTAGGGTTATTTAAGGCCAGAAAATATTTTTAGATTGTGAGAATTAGTGGTGGGGAGATAATAATTTTTTTTAGTAATAAAAGTCTTACTAATTAATCCATAGCTGGAGGAGAAGAGATGGATTCATATCTTTCCCAAGGGTATTTATATGTAAGTGAATTCCCAACAGGAATTGGAACTCGGCTCTCCGATTAACAATTCCATTATCCATTACGCCACCCACACATCCAAACTTACAGCACATGGCATTCCCAAGTGGTTACTTATCTAGATACTGACTAGGCTCGAAACGGCTTAACTTCAGTGATCGTATGGGAACCGGTGTTCCAACGTGATGTGGCCGTAAGCTAGGGCTGGTAGAGAGGGGACAGATGGTAAACAGTGAAAGGTTGTTTAGAGTAACAAGGCACAAAACAGCTATGTTCGTCGACAGAGATAAAAGCCTGAGTTAACCTGTACTGAAAATAAGACACTCTTAACGTCAAAAGATCTTTTTTAAGCGTTTCACCCCAAGCAAGGCGGGAAGCCACTAGCACGCAAGGCGTTACAGAGAGTTGGAGCGAGAGCAAATAAGAGTGATAGAGGAAAGGATGAAGAGAAAGGAGAGAGGATAGATCAAGACATCTGGAGACGTCGATTGACATTAAGTTTGAATAGTTAGAGATTATAGCTATCAGGAAAACAAGAAATGGGGAGGGAGTTCCACAGGCGCGAGGTGTGAGACATGAAGTTATTAGAGTAGAAGAGACGGCTACATTTAACAGTTTCGACAGTGAAGTTGTGTCAGCCTAGTTGAACGCTTAAATTCATGAAGTCTGGGAAGCAGCGAAAGCAGCTCCCTTAAGTCATTTCAAAATTGTAATATATCATGAAAGATCACGTGTCTTATTGAGTCGATAGAACACTATATATGCTGCGACCGTGTGTGTGTCAAGAACAAGATAGCCTGATAGGTTCTATTTCTCCTTCCTCACAGATAACCATCACACTACCTGCATACATCATGAAAGTATTTTTTTTTAATTGCACGATTTCTATTTATTCCGGAAGATATCGATTAACTTAAAACTCGCAGCTGCATCCTCTCATAAATTCATATTTTAATCATCCATATTGCAGTTGCAATTACCGCTCACTATTATATAAAGTTCTGTGGTCTTTATTTATGTGGGCTTGCAGTCATATCACGTTGAAACACCGGTTTTCGTATGATCACTGAAGTTAAGCAATGTCGAACCTGTTCAGTACCTAGTTGGGTGACCGCTTGGAAATACTAGGTGCTGTAAG